TTGTCCTTGATGAAAACTGATTCTCCCTCTCTTAGGAGACATTAATTACCTGTAGTTTATCATTTATAGGTTGGAACCTGTGAGGTGTAACCCTGTACTATTGGAGTCCAGTTTCCACATCTATATTGACAAGATTTAATGAGATCAGCATCCCTCTTTTCTCTAGAAGATACCATCTCATGGTGGCATCCTGGTGCTCTAGACTTTGCATGCTTTCTGTCCCCAATTCAATTATTTCCTCCAAGCTTTGGGTGTAGGGTTAATATTGAAGATGTATCAAGTGTCATTGTGCATTCCTGGGCCACTTGTTCTCTGCAAGTTTGCCTGATATGGATCTCTGTAATAGTCTCAATCTGCAATTAAAAAATAAGAACATCATTGATGAGGGAGTAAGAGCTTTTATCTGAAGATATAAGGATACATTTAAAAATAAAGTTAGTGTGTGTGTGTGTGTGTGTGTGTGTGTGTGTGTGTGTGTGTGTGTGTTACAAGCTGAACCCCATTGAAGGTCAAAGTGTTTATAGCTGGGTTGGTGTTTAATTTTCTGCTTTGGAACCATGAAGGCAGAGTACATTTGGTGCAGTAAACTGTCAATACCTGATTTAATTCAGGACTATCCATGAGATAGCACCTATTTCAACACTGCTCAGGTGGGCAAGGAGAATGATATTAGATATCACTGAGAAGTAGAAGAATAAAACGAACTGTTCTGTTACAGATGGCTTGAGGAGGAAAGATTCTATAAAAACACAGCCCATCTGACAGCGCTGAGAACCAAAAACCTTGAGGAACAGGAGGTTTGCATGCTAAGTAAGAACAATGTCTACCCAGCACTTCAGAGAGGCAAGACCATGGTTAACCCTGACTAAGATGTGGGAGAGAGCAAAGATAACATGATGGCATGGGGAGGAAGGTCACAGGAAGACAGTAGGCTATGGGAGAGGAAGGAGGTGGATTACCTTGTGGTCCCATGCAGATGCAGGCAAGTCCCTCAAGGTCCAGGTGAGAAACAGCAGACCTAGCTGATGGAGAGAGAAAGGCAAATCATTGTAGAATCAGAGAGGAGAAGGACATGGCATGGAAGGAAATAGTCCTACTGGGTGTTTTTGTGAGGACACAGAAGCGCTGGCAGTATCTTTTGATGGAAAAGAGCAGGTCTGATAGATGGTGAAGTTCTTCCCTTGAGGAGCTAAATGCAAAATATGGGTCACCTAAATGTGTTTTAATCATTGTTAAAGAATAATATCAAATAGTATTTATCTTTACATAACATTTCTTTTATTTTTTATGCATTAAGTAGTATACCACATTGTTCTGGCCTCAACCACATGTTGTTAATTCAATTTAAGGTAGGCATTCATCATTTACTGAACCTTATACAATGTTTATTAAATGATTATATTTTGTTTTTTATTAAAATTCCTATGAATCAATTTAATAATTTATGCAAAGAGAGCAGAGAAGTTTACAATTAGAGAGCACATTAAAGGAAGTCTGAAAACATATTTTTATGTAAATCCAAGAATTCATACTTAATAGTCTATTTTTCCTTCCTTCCTTCTTTCTTTCTCTGTTGGCAAACAGATTCGGATAGACCAAGCATAAGTAAAATCTAAGATTCTCCTACTCCAAACTGTAGTCTATCATGTAATGGTTGAGATGAACACAGGGCTTCGGGCATGCAAAACAATACTTTAGCAGCTAAGTTACATGCCTGGGGCAATAATTGATGCTTTGATGCTATAAACACCACTTTGTTCCTAATTTCATCTCAAACAGTTGTACCCTTATTTGTCTTCACAAAGGCTCCTGCCTTTGAGTTCAGGATATAACAGGAAGACATGCAAATATTGCCCTCCTCTGCCCATGAAAAGCAGCCCTGATACTGCAGCTCTGACAGAGGTACCCAGCACTGGACTCCCTGGTCCTCCCATTCTGTGGTCATAACTAAACACACAACACACAGCATGGAGTTGAGACTGAGCTGGGTTTTCCTTGTTGCTCTTTTGAAAGGTAATTTATGTATAAGAAAAGACACTGTGTGACTGGACTTGAGTGAGAGGGACAATGGACATTTGTGAGAGTTTACTGACACGATTCTCTTTTCACAGGTGTCCAGTGTGAGGTGCAGCTGGTGGAGTCGGGGGGAGGCTTGGTGCAGCCTGGAAAGTCTCTGAAACTCTCCTGTGCAGCCTCTGGATTCACCTTCAGTGACTACTGGATGAACTGGGTCCGCCAGGCTCCAGGGAAGGGGTTGGAATGGATTGCAAGTATTGAACAAAAAACAAACAATTATGCAACACACTATGGGGAGTCTGTGAGTGGCAGATTTACCATCTCAAGAGACGACTCCAAAAGCAGTGTCTACCTGCAAATGAACAGCTTAAGAGCTGAAGACTCTGCCACTTATTACTGCACTAGACACAGTGAGAGGACTTCAGTGTGAACCTGACATAAACCTCCCTGCAGGAGCGCTCAGGACCAGCAGGGGGCGCAGGTCACACATGGAGGGAGGGACAGGGCAAACATGACTGAGTGCTGGTTTATGTGGTCACAGCTGTCGCCCCATCTACTGGTTTCTCAGGAGGCTCTCTGTGTTTATGGTCTTTGGAGTCTGTGATAACACAGTTCTCTTTTGCCACAATTTACAATAAATACACCACGCAGTCTAAAGTGAATTACATGGAAATATCTCACCTCTGATAGCAGAAATGACTCTGGTGATGACTCAGGATCAAATGCTGAGTGAGGTCTGCAGTATTGGTGATGATTTTCCCTCATGAGATTCAGGCAAAGACTCAGTGGTATCCGGTTAGGACAGTGTCTGGGATTAGAGGACTCACAGGGGAGGTGAGGCCACACTCAGTGACCCCCCACCCTAACAGCTCTCAGGTCTTCTGTTTCCCTGAGCACTGTGCACATCAGACACAGATGTGACCCATTTGTAATTTCCCTGATGCAGTTACTTCACCTTTAACTTTCATCATGGTGTCTCCTGTTACATTTTGTTCTTCCAACTTCTGACCTTTGTTTAAAAGAGACATGAGCCAGTTACATGAAACTCACCTGAGACATAGGGTGTAACCCTGTGTGACAAAGTTAAGGCTGCTAGTGAATGAAAACAAGAAATAAAAATTAAAAATTCATGACTGTTGGCAGGTATGGTGGAGGAGTTACTTTATTATAGATATGTCAGAAGCATAGCCAGAGGCACAGACATCTGTGGGAGTCCAGAGTGGACACTACCCTGGGTCATGTGACAAGTGGGGGGAGGGGTAAGGGGAGGGAACACAGGGGAACCAGGTGAAGCACTCAGGATGCCCAAAAGAGATGAAAAGGACCAGGTCCCTGAAAAAGTTGGATTATATACAGGAGAGCAGCCCAGGTAGGGAAGCCCAGCCCAGGGCTGGAATGTTTAGGGTATGTAGAAGGAGATGCCAGCCAGGAGGACCCTGTAAGAGGTAGGGACTGAGGGAGGCAGGGAGATATGGTGTTCACTTTTGGCCGTGATATTTTTAATTGGCACCTCATTCAATTGTCCCAGGTTTGAAAGCTATCATCTCAGGCTTTTACTGATAATAAACAAATGATTAGGAGCTATGTGTAATCTTCTCTATGACTATTTCCTGCCACACTGAGGCATCATTGTTGGGTGGTGTAATGGTTGACTGTAATAGATTCCATGAAAACCTGGATAAAGGGAAGTCAGGTATTTATTTGGAACTTACTCATGAATAAAAATAGATAGAGAACCTCTGAGGTCTTCTGCCCAGAGATCTGGAAGCTGAGACCTGATCTGCAAACACAGTTGAGGACAAGAGCTCCCCTCTCAGTCTGCATGCAGCACCTGAGTCTCCAGCAGGAAGGGACTGGAACCTAAAAGACTATTGGGTGGGTGAATTCCCACAACAGGGTGGGGCCAATAGAAGCTGGAATGCTGGTCCTGTGCAGGCCGATCAGCTTCTAAGGAAACTTCTAGGCTAGAGACATGTGGGCATTAGTTGGAGCAATTTCTGGGCCTGTACCTTAGTATATGAGCCATTTTAAACCTGTTTCAGGATACAAATTGTGAGGGAAAGCCTGGAGCAGTCTGCATTTGATTTAAATGTGATGCAACAAATAGACTAGGGAGAAAGCTTAAATGAGAGGTTTAGGGAAACTTTTATCTCGGTGTACATTTGAAAATTTAGGCCCATGGACTTTCTGAATCAGAGAAGATGGATCCAAGACCAGGAGATGAGGACAGAGACAGAGACAGTGAGACAGACAGTGAAGAAGATCCCACTCTCAGGATTCGGGAAATCAAGTAGGTGTTCTGGAAACAGGTAGAAAAAAAGGTGTCCTGAAAGATTCTCTCACTGAGGGAGTGCCTGGGTTTATCAGGAACTGGAAGGCACACAATGTTCCAGGAGCCAAGGACTCTGACCTGGAAACCTATGACATTTTCCTCTCAGTGTAGCAGGTCTGGACCAACTCCATGATGCCTCACAAAATGTGATGGGTCAAGCAATAACAAGAAGATTAATTTTCAAAGAGCAGTGACTTAGCATGCCATAATTCTCTGTAGTCACTCTGTAGAAGCAGAGAGTAGTGACGAGCTGGATCCAACTGCCAGCAGGTAAATCCCCGGCCACATTAGAGGAACATTAGTAATGATACAGGAACCATGTAAAATCATTCTCTGTCACATCCATTCAGTGTTCCCTGGAAAACAAGCACCCATTTCCCATGCAGCTGAGCTCTGTGAACACTGCTCAAGCTACATTGTGAATGTTGAGTGTAAACTAATACATACTAACTTGCACTGGTACTCAGGATCAGCAGAGGTCACAGTGGAGCCAAAAATCAGCAGGACAGTAATGAGATGAGGATAGGAGGGGACTCCATGTTCCATGTGGAATTCTTATAAAAGCCTATATATGAACAGCACCTATTGAAGGTTGTATGTGAAGTCCCCAATATTCAAACACAGTAAAACTCTTTGTTAAATATTGCACATTTTATTTTCTTGTTTGTTTTATTAAGATTTATTTATTTTTTGTATTTGAAATTTTTCATATAGTATTTTTAGATCACAATCTCACTGCCCAATTCCTCCCTGATTTTTATTATCTCTTTACCACTCAACTACACAGCCTTTCTTTGTCTCTATAAAAAGCAACGCATGGGCAAAAACAAAGAATACAAGACCAAATGCACACACACACACACACACACACACACACACAGCAACCACCCACACACACACACACACACACACACACAGAGACACAGACACACAAACATGGGAAACACAGAGCTGCAAACAGCTGGGAAAGCAAAGCAAATATTGTTCCTCCATGTAAGAATACAAATTCTGCTAATTTAAGGAGCTTTGGAAATATCCAATCACAATTATTAGTACCAACGGAACCCAGTCTCTTCACCTCGAGGACCAAATATCTCAGGTTCCAATTCTATTTGTAAATTGAAAGAATTTTCCTAGATGTTTCTGTAGGGTCTGCACAGGTCTCAGGAATGGCTCCTTCTTCAGACAGGATGACGATTTGGACCTCAGCATCCTGCTGCTTGACCCAGGTGTCCTCTACCTCCTCATTCTCCAGCTGGACTAGGTCCTTATCTAAGAAGCACCCTGCTCATGAATATGCAAATCATGTGAGTCTATGAATGTAAATACAGGGATGTCCACACCACCAACAACACATGATCAGTGTCCTCTCCACAGTCACTGAGCACACAGGTCCTCACCATGGGATGGAGCTGGATCATTGTCTTCCTGGTGACAGCAGCTACAGGTGAGGGCACCAAGTTCCAGAGTTAAGGATGGGGAATGTACTCAGGTGACAGTAACACCCACTCTGCATTTCTCTCCAGGTGTCCACTCCCAGGTCCAGCTGCAGCAGTCTGGGCCTGAGCTGGTGATGCCTGGGGCCTCAGTGAAGATATCCTGCAAGACTTCAGGCTACACATTCACTATTGGTTATATGCACTGGGTTGAGCAGAAGCCTGGACAGGGCCTGGAGTGGATTGGAAGAATTGATCCTGATAGTGGTAATACTCAGTACAATCAGAAGTTCCAGGGCAAGGCCACACTGACTAGAGAGAAATCCTCCAGCACAGCCTACATGGAGCTCAGCCGCCTGACATCTGAGGACTCTGCAGTCTATTACTGTGCGAGAAACACAGTGTTGCAACCACATCCTGAGTTTGTCAGAAACCCTGGAGAAGCAGGAAGCTGAGAGGACACAGAAGATTAGCCTGGGGACTTTCTCAGAATTCATAAATCTGGGTGCCCTTTTTCATCCTCCTCCTGACAGTCCTATAGGGTGTTTGTCAAGCTCTCCAAATGCCATCTGAGAATGAAGTGGTGATGACTGAGTAAGCCCTGTGGTCCTGCAGTAACTAGACATTGAGGAGATCTGTATCAGTGACCACCTCCATTGACATGCTTCTGCTTTAATGAAACAGAGAAAAAGACTCTGTGACAATACATTATGAGGGGTGTGTGTGTGTGTATCCTTTAAATCTAAGATTCTAGAATTGTTATTGGTGTATCTGAGTATACACTATAATATGAATTTTGCTAGGAAAATAAAAGTCAACAATTGCTGAACAAACAAAAACACCTTTCAAAAATTCAGTAATGTATCTAACAGCACACCAAATACTTTGGTGGAAGTTTTCTCCATAGATTTGTGGTGTCTCTTTATGTTTCCTCATAATTTAAATTCTATGTAATCATTTATAGGTAAGTCTAATCCTGTATTGCTTTTGTTGGTAGCAATCAAATTTCGTATCATTTGAGAGATTATGTTGGAGCCAAATATCATTTTGTGAAATCCTCTCCATATAGAATCTGTCACTTTGGAGACATTCTGGGCTCCTGCTCATATAACATGGGCCAGAGGAGTGGGATTGGAAACTGGTGATGTAAAAGGCGTTGATATCATCAGGAGCCCAGTTGATCATTTCCCTGTTTCCCCAATTTCATTGTCTTTGTCACAAGTTTTATTTTCACACTGATTGACACTGACTGGACAGCACCCGCCACACCCACACACACACACACACACACACACACACACAGAGAGAGAGAGAGAGAGAGAGAGAGAGAGAGAGAGAGAGAGAAAGAGATTGAGAGAGATTTTTATTTTTATAGGTGTCATGGCCAAATTATATCCATTCTCTTTTTCTTTTTCTTTTTCTTTCTTTCTCTTTTTATTTTTGTCAAGACTGGTTTCTCTGTACCTTTGGAGGCTGTCCTGGAACTAGCTCTTGTAGACCAGGCTGGTCTCAAACTCGCAAAGATCATCTGCCTCTGCCTCTGCCTCCCGAGTGCTGGGGTTAAAGCATGTGCCTCCAAGCCCAGCAAGAGGCTGCTAGTTTCCCCCCTCGGGGAATCGAACCCTCGTCTCCTGAGTGACAGGCAGGGATTCTCACCACTCT